CTTCATGAGAAGGCAGGGGCTCCTTTCCTGTGGGTCCTCCATAACTATCTCTTCCACATGATACAGAGGATCTTCTTTCCATTCCGCTGCTGCTGTGAACTGCTCCTGAAGGTACCAATCTTTTAAGAACAGTGCTCCCACTTCATGATGGTGGTCCTGTTTTTGTTGGAAATAGTCCCCTAGAAGATCTCACTTTAAAATTCTTGGAAAGTCACCATTATACAGGTGTCCTCCACATGAGGAGGTGGGTCGATAGTGCCCCCACTTACTATTCTTCATATTTGAAAACCTCTGGGAGGGCTCCTGCTTCTTGGAGATGGAGGTAGACCATGCCTACCACTTTCAAATGATGTTTTGGTGGCTTGTTCCAACTTGATGGCTTTTCCATATTTTGAGAACTTTCCATTCACATCTGATCCTCTGACATGAATATCAGGGGCCATGTATTGAGAATTGAAATGTTGTGAGAACTAGATTCCAAGGTATGGAATCATGAGATTTTAGAATAATAGAATTTTATACCAGAAAAGATCCTTGGAAGGTCATTCAGGCCAATTAGTTTAAATTTTGAGGTTAAAACTGAGACCTACTTTACAATTCACCTACTATCATAGGCATTTGGTAGCAGAGCTGAGGACTAGAACTGATATCAAAACTCTGAGCACAGCAGGACATTGTGGCACACACCTTTAATCCCAGCAGAGGCAAGTGGATCTCTGGAGGGTCAAGGCCAACCTGGTCTTACATAGTGCGTTCCAGGCTAGCCAGGGCTATACTGTGAAACCCTGCCTCAAAACAAGACAACAACAACAACAACAACAACAACAACAACAACAACTCTGAACATAAGTAGTAAGAATGGCTACACCCTTTGCATACATTCTGTGCCAGGCTCCATTCTATGAGCTCATGACAACCCTACGGAATAGGTGTGACCATTCCTTTGGCTGGGAAGAACTGATAGACACAAGTGGTGAATAGTAGAGATGAAATCAGAGCCTTGCAGTTTAGATCCAGTGTCTTCCCTCCTTTGGGTGTGTGGCGAGAGCTCTCGGACTCTTCTCTGCTTTTCTGGAAAGAGCTGTATCTCAGGTAGTGGTACACTACTTACTATTAAGTCACGCTGAGAACAGTTCTCCTGAAGCTTTCTGGGTCCAGGGGCCATTTATAGATCTCTAGTTATCTGTTGTTACAATTCTAATCCTCCTTCTAGTAAGTTTTCCTCTACCTTAAATGACTTCATAATACTTCCTCCAAAACATTCAGTCCCTGCTGAGTTCTCAAACAGGAAGATCAAGGCTCTCCTTGTTGAAGCATCCTTCTCCTTCAACAGGAAGACACCGCAGTTGAAAGTTGTTCTTGCTAGGATAATTGTCCATTTCATATTGCAAGTACACATATGGGTACCCTTCATCAACAGTCCTGTGTTTCCTTCCTTGGGGAATCTACAGTCAGTTCAGATAGATTCGTGAGCAAATCCTCCTTGACCAGAAGGCTGAAGGAGAGCTGGGCAGCACCCAGCTCATCACCACTAGTAAAGGTTATGTTGCTGTTTTTCTTGAAATGATTCTTTGAAATAGGATCTAGTGCTTCTGAAAATCTCAAAGATTTTCTGGAGCTGGATTTTGACATCTGCTTAAATATTTATCGTGCCTAAATCAAGAGAAAAAGTGTTCCTTGTAAACTTGGTATATTTAAGTTCTGTGGCATTTCCAAAGTCATACAGGCTTTCTGCATTGGAAGCTTGTAGAATCCTAACCATAAAGTGGCCAGAATGTGAAGTGGGGGGATCATGGCTGACGCTAGCTCTGGGAAAGGAACAAGTCTGTTGTCACACAGTGCTTTCATCAGCTAAGAGCATAAGCTAGGCAGAAAGATTTTTTTTTTAAGTTCTTGTCTTTATGGTCTGTGTCTCCAAAGATGTCAGGAGGACTGGGTTAGTTCGCTACAACTTTAAAGGTAGCACACAGTCTTTATCAGAGCTCAGCACTGGCAGCCCTAGTGGACTGAATCTAAAGAACTCTTTTCTGAGGACCCACAGGGGATTGATGAGCCAAAATCTACATCTCTGAAGACCCCCAAAGTCTCCAGAGAAGTGGATTTGACCAGGCAGTGCCAATACCCATCCGCTCCCATCCATGCCCTTGCTGTCTTGTTTTTAATCCTCAATGGTCTTTGAAACGTGAAAGAAACTGGAATTGCAGAAGTTTTTCCTCAGGACAAAAATTCTGTAAGTATACTAAAGGAATCTTTAGTATAGAACAGAAGGGAGAACAGAAGGGAGTATAGGGGTAAAGATCAGATTGTCTGTCACCAACCATGACTCTAAACTAATTCACTCTATATGGATTTTTGTGAAAAAATTTTTTCAAAGTAGAGATTTATTTCATATATAGTTTCATCTTGCCTTTTTACTTAGCATCACATTGTAATTTCTCATGTTATTAAAAGATTTTTTAAATTTTTACTTATTTTTATTTTATGTGTATGGGTATTTTACCTACATGTATGTTAAGTGCACCCATGCATGTAATGCCCACAGAGGCCAGAAGAGGGCATCAGATCCCCTGGAACTGGAGTTACAGATGGTTGTTAGCCGCCATGAGGGTGCTGGGAGCAGAACCTGGGTCCTCTGTAAGAGAAACTAGTGTTCTTAACGGCTGAGCTACGTCTCCAGCCCTGTTAAACATTTTTAAGAATGTGGCTATCATTGTAATGTTCCAAGTATGGGCATTCTACCATTCATTGCCTTCTTTCCCTTTGCGTTCTCTTTCTCCTTCTTCCGTCCGTTCCTCAGTCTCTTGTTTTTCCTCCTTTCTCCTCTTCTTTCCTTGCTTCTTTTCCACTCCCCCAGTCCAGATTCATTAGCTAAATCAAATTTATATGCCTGCATCAAATAAGTAATAAAAGTAAACATCTACAGGGGAAGTGGAAGAGCAGACTCTCAGCTCCCCCTCTATTTACGACTCTCCACGTGCAGCCACTTTACATATGTGTGTAAACTACCTGTTCAGACCAGATTTTTCTTAACTATTACAGCAGCCCCTGGCTTACATTCTCTGAAAGACATGAATATTTGTAGCAGCCAGAGTAATCAGAGTTTTCACTGGATGAGATTTAAAAAAAAAAAAAAAATAGGTCAGTTGGTTGTCTTTTCCGGTTTCCATTTTGCCATCAACTACATGTTGTCATATATACCCTGCCACCAGAGTAGTTGATGCATCCCCACGGTGGTAATAATGCACATGGGCACTGGAAGTGGTGATTTCTAAGTGGATAAATAGGATTTCTAAGGTCCTCAGAATACAGTGACCATGGGTACAATCTCCCCATATTCATCTCCATCCAGTGCCATTGCTCATAAATTCAGTATTTCTAAACCAATAGTTTTTATACAAAATTTAAAAACCCCAAACCAAACCCACAGTATACCTAATTCTCCATGTAAGCATTTCGTCTGCGTGTGTGTGCGTGTGCGTGTGTGTGTGTGTGTGTGTGTGTGTGTGCAAAACTGCATGTGGGTATGGGTGCAGTGTACCTCAGCACACATGTGGAGGTCATAGTACAACCTGCAATGTCGAGTCTTCACTTTCCACCTTGTTTGAGACAGGGCTTCCCTTGACTTGATGTTTTTCACTGTGTCTGCCAGGCTGACTTGCCCCTGAGTTTCTAGGGGACTCTCCTGTCTCTGCCTTCCATCTGGCAGTAGGAGCATAGGATTGTGGACCTCTGTGCTAACCATGCCTGGCTTTACATAAGTTCTGGAGATCTCAACTCAGATCCTCACATTTGCTCCTAAGTGCTTTACCCACTGATTCATCTCCCCAGCCTTTCTATAAATATATTATAGAACTTGTAAATAGAACTAGACTTGACATTGTTGATTGAAACTTAAAATACAGGCTTCTAATGGGGATCACCACAGCTATAATCCTAACTAAAAGATGAGTTTAACGTACAGGTGTGTTTCCACCCTAAACAGAAAACTCCATGATAAATACCCTTTTCCAAGATGAGTAAGTAACCTTAGGAACTTCACTTTTGCCAGAGATATGCTCCCTTAATTTCCTGATGTCAAAGGCATCTTGTGTTATTTCCTTTGTTGTCCTTTGGGTGTATATATGTTATAAACTTTTTGTCTTTAAGAGTATTGCACTGGTCAGGGTTATCCAAAGAGACTTATAAGAGAGGTTGTCTTAGATTGGCTTGCAAAATCAGAGGTTGTATAGTCCCACAGAGGCCATCTGGAGAGCCCAGGAAAGCAGTGGCCACTTAGTCTAAGTAGCTGGAGGTGTGAGCACAAGAGGACCAATGATGCCACCACAGTGCAAGGCTGAGGTCTAGAAGCCCCTGGAGAAGTGCTGGTGGAAGGTAGTGGTCAAAGGCTGGGTAATCTGGAGTCTGATGTATGAACGAGAGCAGCAGCATAAAAATGCAACTGGTCAAGTAGAGTGGGTTGGAGTGCCCTGCAGCTTTCCTTTCTCCCGTTCTTCCGGTTTCATTATATAGGATGATGCTACTGGCATTCAGGTTAGGCCTTCTCCATCTCATTTGCTCACCCATATGCCAATGATCCTGGAAAGCACTTTCACAGACACAGGCATAAGTGTGTTCTACCAGGCCAAAAGAGACAGCCAAGATCAATCAATACAGATATAAATAAAGGAAAAGCATGGACAGCACATTGCTGTATTACCCCAAACCAGAGCAGCACACTGTGATGTGTATGTACAGCCTAATGGGCTGGCACATAAGGTGGGTCTTAAGGAAGCCAGGGACATGTAGGATACCTTAAGGATTCCTTGGCTCTGGGTTGTTAGTGATCATGATGGGTCACAGAATGTCAGATGATTTAATGTTCTGTAAAAAGCAAATATCCAAAGTTTGCCCTTTGGTTTCTGGTCGATAATTTTAGTTACTAATTATACTACTTAGTAAATGCCAAGCATTATTCTAAGAGTGTTTCGTGCATTCACTCACATCACCCTCCATCACCTTGATGAACTTGTAGAAGCATTGCTCCTAATTCATAACAGAAGAAACGATGCAGAAACAGACAATAATTTCCCCTAGAGAGTCACAGCATAGAAATGCAGTTAGACCGAAACCCGAGCTCAGGCTTGGAAGTATGTGTTCAGCCAGCATCTACTCTGAATTCCTACCATGCCATGCAGTGTGTATGCTGCATTGCAAAGACCGAAGCTTCAATAGTGGACAGAAGAAACAAAAACCCCCTACCCTGGGAATGTGAACGCCCCTTTACAGTGCTTGTGCATCATAAGGGTGATAAGAGTAAGATGGATTATCACAGTCATAATGAAGGAAAGTTCTGGGTAACGTTTTTGTAATCTTGATGTTGCAGATCTAGGACATCAATACATTTTGATTTACTACAGATTTGGACCCTCAAGGACCTGACTCTTAATTCTTTCCTGTAACAGTACTAAGAATTTTACTTTCTAGTTTCAGATTCACTTTTGTAGCGTCAGCTGCCAGGAAACTGGAAAAGAAACCAGGACCTGCTGTTATACACAGGCTTGTAGCACCTAGCAGAGGCAGAAGAAGATCATTTTTGAAGAGAGCAGCTGCCTGGACTGAGCAGTTGAGAATTACACAGCATCATGAGGTAGGACTTTCTCTTCTCTAGTGTGTGGAAAATGTAGCAAATCTTGCTATTAAATGCAAATCCTAAGCAGCCCTGTTCCCAAGAGAGGCCAGTTCTGGTTCGTGTTTGTTTATTGCCTTTGTATGTCTCTTCTCTCCAGAGCTTAAGTCTGTCTTAATGATGCTCATTTGCTTCTCCCTGCATCTCCAGATCTGCCCACTGGAGAGCTGATGTCAGGGAAGAAAGGGGAAGAGAAAGTTAAGTTTCCAGAGACTTCTTGTAAAGATGAGTTTGGGGGAATTGCTCTTGTGAACTGTCCCTCTTTTTTAGACAAAAAGATTAAATTGAGAACATCTAGTAAAAACATTATTTAACAAAATGCTCTTCAGATTTCTTTTCTTTATTGTTAAAGATGTATAAAAGATGTGTATTGTTAAAGATGTGTTAGTAAAAATACTAACTCTGCTTCCTGCTAATCTGAATTTTACTTTTAATTGCCTAATTCTTCTCACAATTGTAATGAGTGCTAACCAGATAGAACACAGGAAGGAAGTAGCTTCCCTCACCAGTGGAAATAAAACCCTAAGTCAGTGAAATCAGATGCCCATGGAGCATCTGATAAAGGAATTTGTTAAACTATTATACTTGTTTCTATCCTGAAAATGTACAATCAGCCAACTCTATATTTTATGTGCTAGAGATAATCTCCACCCCATCACTCTGTTTCTTCTGTAAAACAAGGAAGGCACGAAGCAGCCCATGTGCCAAGGAAAGCTTCCTGTAGCCTCACTAAGAAGGAAGATGGCAGAGATTAGAAATTGGCCATTCAAGGTGAGGCTGTGGGCACTAGGATGTTAGATACCAAGCCAGCCATGGACTTAATTATGATGACCTGTTCTGTGCTAAGACCTGCCTGAGGCTTTGAAAGGAAGGAGACTCCTTTCCAGAAACTTCTGCCCATGTTTCCTCCCATTTACCTCTGTTCATACTTGGGATAGTTAGGACTTTGTATATCCCAAGCATCAGATATTAACAACAAGTGATTTAACGTTCCTGCAGCACATTAAAGGGATACTAACAGAGGGCACTAGCTGCTGATTGTGAGGTCTCAGACACTGTGTGTTCTCTATGTATAATTAAATCACATGCTGAAGCACAGTAGCGAGTCTTGCAAAGGAGGCTCATAGGTAGCTAGTTCTATCTCTTTGGGGAGAAGCTCTTTTTCCTTCAGGCTGCCCTTACAACTCTTCTTAAAAACTTTGTAGTCCCTTAAAAATTCCCTTCAATGTCATCCCCCAAATAAGCAAAAAGCAAATCAACCCAGCACAGGAGTCCCTGGAATATTGTGTATCCTCACTTAATTTTTTCTATGCTATCTACAAATCAACACCTTTATCTGGAGCTATGTATTCTAATGTTATTCTTTGACTTGTACAGTTGGTATCTGGAAAACTAGGCAAAGAGGTGAGAATTACTTTTGAACTATAATTGAGTTGACTTTCTACTCAACTTCTCTCTTTTACTTTTTGTGTCATACCCTCCATCTGCACACGTTTTGATTGGGTTGGGGTTAGGGTTACCAGACCAGGAATAGATCTGAGAGGCAGTAAGTGAGCGAGAGCCAGTCCTTCTGTGTTAGAAAACAGGCTGGGCACTAGGGTCTGATGGCAGCCATGATCTGCAGGGCTCGCCACTCTATACTGTGTGTGATCTCCTTATACACAGAGGAGGCACGGTGTCTGAGTCCTCACAAACAGTAACGTCCCTTCTTCTATTCCTTGGGTTGTACAGTCCTGCCCTTGGGGCCTGAAAAATAAAATTACACACTTTTCAGGAAAATGAGTGGAACTGGAAAACATTCTATTAAATAAGGAAACCCAGGCTTAGAAAGACAAACATTTCTTGTCTCTTATATGTAAATCTTAGCTTTACATATGTGTGTTTATGTGAGAGCCAGTATATATGGATGACAGGAAGCTAGAAATGAGCCCATAAGAGGCGGGAAAGAGGCTTTAGGGTAGACAGGAGGGAGGTAACAGAGGAAATTGATAGAAAAATCAAAATGGGAATACTGGGGGTGGGGGGCTTAAGAGAGGGATGGGGCCAAGCAGACGCGTGAGAAGGGGGCAGGAAAGAGCAGCCAAAACAAAGTGTATGTGAAAATGCAAAATAACATTTTTTTAAATAAGTAAAAATAAAATAAATATGGGCCAGTGAGATGGCTCAGCAGATAAAGGTATTTGCCACCAAGCCCGATAAACTGAGTTTAATTCCTAGGTCGCACACAGGAAGGACAGCACCAGTTCCCTCAAGCTATCTGCTGACCTCCAGATGTACACATGCACAAAATAAAATAAATAAATAAATAAATGTAAAAATAAAATAAATGGTCAGCAAGGACTAATTCATCAGCAAAAAAGAGTAAATTTTTAAAAAGAAAAAGAGAATTCATATGATAAAATCTCAAAGAGATTGGCCACACAAAGAAAGCCTATTGAAGTTATATTAAGAAAAAGGACTGAAGGGGTGATTCATTGGCTAAGAACATGAACTGCTCTTCTGGGATGGGGTCATTACAGATGAAATACATGGAAGTAATAGAAAGCAATTGATTTTGGAGTTTTTGTTTTGTTTTATTGAGACAGGGTCTCTCTGTAACCCCAGATGGTCTGGAACTCACTATGTAGACCAGGCTGGCCTGGATCTCACAGAGATGCCTGCCTTTGCCTCCTGAATGCTGGAATTAAAGGCATGTGCCACCAAGCCTGGACAACTTTTTTTCTTTTTTAAAAGATTTTATTTTTTTAATGTGTGTGAGTGTATTGCCTGCATGTATGTTAGTGTACCCATGTTGTGCAGTGCAGGCAGAGCTCAGAAGAGAGCATCAGATTCTCCTGGAACTGGCCTTCTGTTGCATGACGGAGCTTCATTGATGAGAATTGAAAGATGCATTAGTGCTCTCTTCATCCCTTGTTCTATGTTCCTTCAGTCTTAGGTGTAGAGGTTGCATCCTAGATGTGCCACTTAGGCTTGGGAAATTCACAAATAGTCTCTGTGTGTGACCATCTGTGGAACTCTGTACCTATCCTGTCTCTTGTAAAAGAAGCTTCTTTGATGGGTGGTGACCAGGATACTTGTCCATAGGTTTAAGGAGCCTGGACAATTTTTTTTTTTTTTAGCTGTGCGCTAATAAAACTTTATTTATAAAAACAGTCAATGGGCCAGATTTAGCCCACAAGAGTTTCTCATCACTCTCTAGGGGAAAACTCAAAAAAGAAACCAAGTAATTAGTAGCACATCATGTTAATTACTCTAATCAAAACAATTATAGTGAGTTCAGAAGACACAGCCTAGGAAGAACAAAGCCAGAGGTGAAGGAAGGCTTCCAGAAGTGAGTAGGCAGCAACCCAGGGCAAGTTTCCCTCCTTTTCCACTGACCATGTTTTCTTTAGCCATGTTAGACAATTTTTAAAGGGAGATTAAGAAGTAAAAATAGAATTGAATTTCTAAAATAATAAAAAATCTAAATCAGCAGAGTGAAATATCAAAAGATTAGAAACTTACATAGCTAAGACTTTCAAAATTCAACAGTAAACACTAGGTTAGTGTAAAGAACAAAAAGGAAAAAAATAAATACCTTCAGTTTTTAAAAAGGTGGGTAAGCAACACCAAACCCATGTTGGCATCTATTCCCTCAAGTTTAGCAGCCCCTGCAAAGATCCTCCAAAACAGAAGCTACAGCTATCTGGTTGAACCACCTTGTTAGGAAACCCAGCCTCAGACTTGGACTGGCCCACTTCTCTCCCTCTAATTCTGCCTGAAATCATCAAACTCCTACTTTCCCATTCAGGAGTTAAGATATGCCAAAACACTGGAAGAAAGAAAAGAAAAACATGTTCTTTGGTTAGGGTTAGATGAACACTGTTCAGAAGGAAAAGAATATTTACTGTGATCTCACTTCTTGACAGATCAGTATGTGCTATGTCCCAGTAACTGTTTCCCTTTTCTTTTTTTTCTCCTTTTCTCCAGCATAATCACTAAGGAATCCTTGGAGAGCATCCTACAGCAACTAAAATGCCATTTCACCTGGAACCTGATAGAGGGAGAAGAGTCCTTGGATGAGTTTGAGAACAGAGTGTTTAACAAGGATGAGTTTCAGAACAATGAATTTAAAGCCACAATGTGTAACATACTGGCCTATATAAAGCACTGCAGAGGCCAAAATGAGGCAGCCTTGGAATGTTTAGATGAAGCTGTAAGGTTCATAAAGCAACAGCACCCTGACCAAGCAGAAATCCGAAGTCTGGTCACCTGGGGAAACTATGCCTGGGTCCACTATCACATGAACCAACTGTCCAAAGCCCAGGACTATGTTGAGAAGGTGAGAAAAGTCTGCGAGAAGTTTTCTGCTCCCTACAGGATTGAGAGCCCTGAGCTTGACTGTGAGGAAGGGTGGGCACGATTGAAGTGCACCAGAAACCAAAACCAAAGAGTGAAGGTATGTTTTGAGAAGGCTCTGGAGAAGGATCCAAAGAACCCAGAATTCACCTCTGGATGGGCCATCACAAACTACCGCCTGGACTGCTGGCCAGCATTGCAGGACCCCATTGGGCCTTTGAGGGAAGCCATCAGACTGGATCCTGACAACCAGTATGTTAAAGTCCTGTTGGCTCTGAAGCTTCAGAAGATGCATGAAGTTGATGAAGGGAGGGAGCTCATCCAAGCAGCCCTAAGGAATACTTCAGCTGAGACAGATGTACTACGCTGCGCAGCCAAGTTTTATCAGAAGACGGGCGCCCTGGACAGAGCCATAGAGGTGCTTGGACAGGCTTTAGAATGCCTGCCAAACAATGCCTATGTGCATTACCATATTGGATGCTGTTACAGGTCACAACTCCTTCAAATGCGGGACATAAAGGAACGTGAAATGAAGGAAAGAAGAAAGAAGTTAACAGAGCTAGCTGTGAGTCACTTAAAGGAAGCTAAGGAGATCAACGGGTCACTCAACAGTGTCTGTAGCTATCTTGCTGGTCTTTATGCAGTAGCAGAGCTACATGAAGAAGCTGACTATTACTACCAGAAGGAATTCCAGAATGAGCTTGCTCCTGCAGCTCGACAGCTGCTCCACCTACGGTACGGCAATTTTCAGTTCTTTCAAAGGAAGTGCGAAGACAAGGCCATCCACCATTTCATGGAGGGTGTGAAAATCAAGCTGGAATCAAAGGAAAAAGAAAAGATGAAAAACAAACTTCAAAAACTTGCCCAAAGGCGACTTTCTGAAAACGAAACTGATTCGAAGGCTCTGCACATTCTGATGTTTCTTGAGGCGCTCAATGGAGAAAGGCAGCAGGCTGAGGATGCTGAGAGGGACATGGACTCTGCAAGCCTTGTCCCTTCGGTGTCTTTAGAAGAGGCAGGGAACGAAGAGTAGGGACATATTGTCCGTAGGGCTACTACCAGAAGGGAGCTGAAAACCCTCCATCAAGTTGCTGGTCAAAATATTTAACAACTGTATGGAATAAGTGTGTACTGACATTCCAGCACGGGACTTGTCAGGCTTCTGGAAGCCTGCTGGACCAGATGTCAGTACCTGAATCGCTGGATCTGGAGGTGGTCTGGGAGAGGGGACCAGCTGAGACGCAGATCCAAGGGCTTAGTAAATAGGCTAGTTCCTTTTTACTTCTTGGATGCAGTTTCCATGGAAACAATTCTTTAGTTACCCTCAGTGAAGGCATGTCTTAGATTTGTTTCCTGTGTTTATGTAAAGATGACTCACATTCCATCCTTGAGTTATTTTAGATTTTTTTGCATAGATAACTGTACATTGACCATCAAAAAGCTGAGGAGGCAGGTGTAGCGGCTCAGGCCTGTAATTCTAGCACTTGGTAAGCTGAGGCAGGAGGAATGCCTGGAGCTTGAGACCAGCCTGGTCCACAGAATGAGACCCTGTCTCAAAATAACAAAAATAACAACAACAACAAAAACTGAGGGACTGAATCTCTCCCCTTTCCTTCTCTTCATTGCCTTTTCCCTCCCAATTACCAGCCAATCCCAAGTCTGCAGCATCCTATACAACACGAGTTCAGTTTTCCTGTTAACTGAGATAGCTACATAATTTGAAAAAAATGAGAACAGAAAGGGGCATATCTGAGCAAACCACTGGAGTTTGCAGCCACAATGCTAGACTTTCAGGAGCACATGAGGACTTCACCTCCACTCTGCTCTCCCTGTCACTGTAGGACAGCCGGAAAAGAATTCTATACATTATAGTGAAAACAAAAATAGTTATTTCAGGCTCACATGGAAAACCCAGTGAGAGAAAGAGAACGCTGATTTATCCTTGTAGATTATACTCACAGAAAGGAATTTTCTTTTTTAAGCCACTTTAAGAAAATTTCTCTATCAAAGAAATACTTGCTTTCTTCACAAATGCCTTAACAAATCCAGGTTTCAGGTGCTAGGAAGGTAATTGAATGAGAGAATAGCTTGGTGATACAGGGCCTTCTGGGAGGTCTTAGTGGCACTGGTACTGGGGGGTGAGTCTCTCCCTCCATTAGAAACGTTGCATTGTAAGAGTTATAAACACTTCTTTCAACTCTGAAAAAAGAGTCTTCAAGAACATCATAAAATTGATGGTTGGGATTTTCTTAGTAGATCTTGAATGACCTAGACATTAAGGTTGTTATGAACCAACATAGAGCCACCTGGCCCACCATGAGACTGCCAGCCTCCCTCTGCATTGGAAAATGTTTGTCTGCCAGTATTAGCTTGTATTTAAGTGTATATGAGTATTTTATTCAGCAATTAAAATATATAAAATGCAAAGATTGTTAAACTTGGACATTCTAACTGCTATAACAATGTTTCATTCTATTTTCTATATTAAAAAGAGTATTGTATGCATTAACTCCATCCATATGCACAGTTTGAAGTACTGGCAAAAAGTCACACATTTTGTTAATAAATAGTATATGCTACATAACGGAGCATTACTCTGGTTCATCTGAAACTTCACTGTACCCTCACTATTTTACACTCAAGTACTGATAATCAAAATGTTATATTGAGTATGAATTGGCCTCAAATATTCAAGACTAGTTAATGTAATAGCCATTGAGTAGCACAATTTTTTTTACAGCTTCAAGTGCCCAGTACTTTTCATATTTGACACCTGCATCATGCCTCCTGTGCACATGTGCACACTCTCCATCTTGACATTTTTCTGATATATCTTACACTCTGTTACATTCTCTTCATTTCATCACTTTTTCTGACTAATGGGGAAGCATTTGATTTTATCTCTTATCTCCCCCTTGAGGCATCCACACACATGCTACTGTGTTTTTCTGCTAAGTATGAGGATGAGACGCCCTGAAGTCGCTCTTATTTTTTTAAGAGACTTTTTGTGAAAAGCACAAATCATACCAATCACGATGGTAAGCTCAGTGTCCTCTCCAAGGAAAGAAGTAGCTCACCTTCCCAGAGAAGCTTGTTTTTGGATATGGTGCCTGAAGAAGAAAAGCAGGAATGTTCTAAGCAAAGGGTAAGGTGGGCAGGTGTGATGTCTTTCAGTGAGGGTTACTTGTATCTGTGTGTACTGGAGAGCATTGTTAAGTGTGTGGAAGCTTGTGCTTGCGTGTCAGGCCAGCAGACCCTTGATGGGACAGGATATGGAGAGGGCAAGAGTCGAGAGGGATGGATGACATATTGCATCTAATATTTATCTGAGGATTTAAAGCCAACAATTGATTAGAAATAAAATGATCTATGTAGCTATTTCATTATCTGGGGATAACAAAGACACATTAATTTTTCTTGACTCCCAGTTCCTTCCCTCTTGGAAGGTTATAGGGCATGGCTCAACCATATCTTCTAGGGAATGCCATTCTCATGCTCACATGAAATCCCTCACATGCTCACCAAGGTAAGTGAACACTTCCCCAATAAGACTCCCCCAGGTGCTGGTGAACAAGCCTTCAGAACAATGTGATTGTTACATCTGCTGTTTGCCCTGCTCCAAACCCTGCCCATCAGCATTGCTTGACGACAAAACTGCTTCCATACATCTCTCCACTCCCCGCATTGGATCAGAACTTGTATGCTATGGATACCCCTGCCAAGGATGCTCTAGATGTGCTTGCAAGAGTGAAAGAGTGGGAAGAATTTCTTTCATCTCCAGTTTGATTTCAAATAATACTTGTTATTTCTCAGTGAAAAGACGACGCAGATTCTGCTCCTGGCTCCCTTTCCCTACCAATATCAGAGTCCATCTCTGAACAATCAGACTGAATCATGATTGTGTTAATAGTTCTGACCTCCTGTGTTAGTTTTTCATTGCTGTGACAAATATCTGCGAGAAATGGATTTTTTAAAGGAAGGATTTATTTTGGCTCATGATTTCAAAAGTTACAGTCATGGTCCACTGGCTCAGATTTTTTTTCCTTGCAGGGGTGGAGGGGACTGTGGCAACAGAGGTCCATGCTAGAGGGGAGCTGCTCAGGTCACAGAGGTCAGTAAGGAGAGAGTGAGGCTTGGGACAAAGAATCAGCCCTAGTACAAGAGTTTGGACTTACTTCTTCTAGCTAAGCTCCACTCCTCAAGTTAACAGTTTCCAGTGGCTCCATCAAACTATGAATCTACCAGTGACTAACACACTAGGTTGGAGACCTTTTGACCCAATTATCTTTGAATGAGTAAATCTACCAGCTTAGGGTCATCTTCAATACAAGAGCCTTTTGGGGGGACACTCTATATTCAAACCATATTATCAATTGATTCATGCAACATACGTCTAATAAGACCAGCAGCCTGGAAGGTTTAGCGTCCTGATAAGACTTGTGTTAGGGTGTCTCCCATGTGTGCAGTCAGCCTGGGATGCCAATCTGGGCAGTATAGGTTCCAACTAAAGACTACACATTCCCAGCCCTCCTTCCCCACACCATTACTCAAACACCTACTTTGGAGAAGGTTCTTAAATTTAACAAACAAGAGAGTCTCCTCATGATTTAACTTCCAAATTGCTGATAATCTGAACATTTTGAGGGGGCCACAGAGGGAAATTGTCCAAGACCCTTAGGTGTACCTAAGTGCACGCAGTTATAAAATGGGCACTCTTAGATGTACAGCCTCCCTTTACAAGTCCAAGATACAAGGATGTAAGACTAGAGGTCAGAGTGGAATTGACTGGAAGCTTGTGAAAATAAATGACAAATAGTTCTTCCTTTCCTTTTTAGTAATCTTTGGGCTGATTTTTCAAAGTATCATACAGAAAAGCAAATGAACCCCACCAAGCCCAGGGCCTTAGCTCATGCCCCTTCTGTCCTAAAGATAGAATGTGCCTTGGTTCATGTCATTTCCCAACTGGATAAGGCTTTTAAATGGAAATTCCATTCCAGACTGAAACTAGTAATTCCTGAGGTCCTTCTAGAGTCCTGCATGCTATCTTCAAAGTGTCTGTCCAAGTTTAATCTAATCCAATCAAAACTCTTTTAAGGGCTCTCTGTTCCCTTTCCAGCAGCCTCTTCCATTTTTAAACTAAATTTAATAATTTGTCCTCAAGTATTTCATTAAAACAAATTTGCATATACATCTTGAACTTAGTGAAACAAAATATGCTGTTATATGTTAGTGGTATAAAACATCGTGGAACTATGCATTTTATAATTGTCAGTTAAAGAAATCAATTTACTAAAATATTTCAAATTATGGAAATATTGTATATAAAAAATACTGTGCATGAAAAATTCCCAGCATTCAGGATGCCATTCCCAGCATCCTCACAAATGACAAATGCTCTCTGTCTTCAATTTTTGCCAATATGTTAAGCCTATGTGTATATTCCCATAAGAAGTATCAGCCATATGATTTACAGATAAAATATCCTCCAAAAGTAAAATTCATAAGTCTGAATTCCTTGTATACCCTGGGTCTTCAGAGTGCCTAGCTCTTGTTCCCACCCCCTCCCTCTTTTCCTTCCTCACCAACTCCCTCTTTCTCCTTCCTTCGAGATGAGTGAATCTCTGTGCACTAAATGGAATATAGACTCTCAGATTGCCCTATCTCTTGTCTTAATGTCTTAACAAAGATTTTCTAGAATCACTCTCTTATTATTTAAAGTTCCGAGGAAAAATTTACCTGGCCCAGTTCAAGTCAAATATCTGCTCCTGATAGATTCTAAAGGGACCATGAGGCCACAGGGCAGATGGAGCAGGGACTTTGAAGACTTTCTGGAAAGGGAGTATGGGCCAGTTATCCATGCAGATGATGTAGGAGAGGGAGGAATAATTAGCAGAAGAAATACCTTGAATACCCAGAATCTCTTCTGACACTCCATCACACTGGCATACAATTTCCTGTACAGTCCAGCATTAGATCCTTAAAGTTGCCACCTATAGAACAATTGGATTTCTAATTAAATCAATGTCAAACTTTAACATGCACAACATACTTCCATGTGTTTAGTTACCTGGAGATCGTGTGAAGATGCAGGTTGTGATTCCATAGGTCGGAGTAGAGCCTGAGATTCTGTGCTTGTTCTAATCTGCTACAGAAAAGTATCTGCCAGTCCATAAACTACATCTTGAGCAGCAAAGGTGTTGACTGAACTGTATCTAATTCTGTCTGGTTTCACGTTTTAGCCTAACTTTTGGTCAACTAGGAAGACTCATCAGCACATTACTCTTACTATATCTTTCTCTCCATGTAAGTCATCTACTAAGAAGAGCTCAGAGCTTAAAAACTTTAAAAAAATGTTTATATTACCTCAATAATTGGAATTCTGTTTTTATATTTATTTATTTATTTATTTATTTATTTATTTATTTATTTATTTATTTATTTAGAGACAGGGTTTCTCTGTAGCACCAGCTGGCCTGGAATTGCCATGTAGACCAGACTGGCCTTGATCTCACAGAGATCTACGTGCCTCTGCCTCCTGAGTGCTGGGATTAAAGGCATATACCACTACTCCTAGCTTATTTTTATTTTAATTGCATGTGTATGAGTGTTTTGCCTGTGTGTATTTATGTGTACCCATGAGTCAGTCTCCATGGAGATCAAGAGAAGGTATCAGCTCCTCTTAAACTGGAGTTACAGACAGTTGTTAGCTGACACGTGGGTCCTGAGAACTGAACTTATGTCCTCTGCAAATGCAGCCAGTGCTCTTAACTGCTGGGCTATCGCTCCAGCCCCAAGAATTAGAATTCTTAGCATAAAATAGTACAGCTTCTTTAGAAAACTAGTTGACAGCTTCTCAAATGGTTAACCATCAACCACATGACTCAGGAACACCATTCCTAGGTATATACCTAAAAGAAGTATAAACATATGCTAATATGAAGCTTAAACTATATGAATATTCACAGCAGCAATATTCATGATCCAAAAAGTGGACCCATTAGGTAATGTGAGGATAATTGAAATGTGACAATCGAGTTTGATTGATAAAAATAAGTACTTGCTGATACATGGTATAATATAAATGAAACTTGAAAGCATGTTCATTGATAGAAGCCACTTACAGAAGGTCACACATATGATTCTATTGATATGAAATACTGTAAATAGAGAAATCTATAGAGATAGAAAGGGGAGGCAGGGGAGATGGCTCAACAGGGAAAGGAATTTGCTCCACAGAGCTGGTGATCTGTGTCCAATCCCTAGAACCCACATAAAGGTGGATGAAAAGAATCAAATCCATGAGGTTGTCCTTTGAGCTCCATATGCTTGCTTGTTGTGGCACACACAGCCCCCCCCCCACACACACACACACACACACACACACACACACACACACACACACCCTTACTGAGTCTATTTAGTATTGTTAATATGTACATGTATTTAGAGCTGACCTGTTGAGAGTAGTTAACCTGCCCTGAGCTTGTCTCTGGGGAAAACTGATTTTCCCTCTCTCAGCAGCCATTGATTATAGCTCTTCATCTAGAGGTGGGGTTCTTGTGAAATTTCCCACATCTAT